CCAAACTTTTTTTTCAACTAGTTGTTACATACATCTRATCATTTTTCAGGACTATATACTTGACTTTTTACCCCAGTGGACTAAACAAAATTGCTTGCATTAGCTTCCTACTTGCCTTTCCACAGTTGCTCATTCTACCTGCTTCTTTGAAGAAGAAACAATCTCTCCTTGAAATGCTTTTCTCAGTGGCTCCTGGGACACTTGTTCTCTGACTTCTYTCTGTCTTGATGGTTTCCTCTTCTGAACACTCGGCCCCAGGAGTGCTGTTCCTCCTAGGGCCCCACTCTTCGCCTTCTTCCAGTTGCATTTCCTCTTGTCTGCAGTCCAGATCTCGCCCCAAGTTAATTTTCCTGAACTTCAAACAAAACATGCCCAACCAAACTCATTAACTTCCTCATTCTATTCCTGTGATGTTTACCCTGGGCTGCTTCTTTCAGTTAACCATCACCAAGTCAGGAAGCAGAAATCAACCCCAGTCCCCCAGTCAGTCTTGACATCTAGCCCTGGGCACCCTGAAGCTCCTTTCTTGTGCCTCTTCCTCTCCAACACCACAGCYTTAGCTCACGCCCTTGTCCTTTGCTCTCTAACCTCTGCAGGAAGTTCCTCACTGGTGTCCCTGATTCCAGAATTTCCCCACACTCATYCACTGTTCAGTTCTCATCTGAATCATCTTTCTGAAGCACATTCCTAGTCCATCATTCATGTGCCTAAAGCCTTTGATGGTTTTCCATTCCCCTACAACAGTGTTTTTGCTTTGAGTTTTGTTCCACCTTTTTTGCCCCAGACCCTTTGAAAACTGTGTGCTCTCATCTGACAGAAATGCACACAGGCTCATAAATCAACCCTGCATACAAGCTCAGGGCTCTGCTCCCCCTGAAGCCCAACTCACRGACACCGAGGGATACCTTTACACAGTGCTTTGCACAGGGCATTGCACTTYCCTGAGCAGTGTGGCCTCCTGCACACCCCACTTACACACCCCCCTCCAGCTGCAGCACGCTCCCTGTTGCAGGAACACACATAGCCCCCTCAGGTGCTGATGGCCTTCACAGCTACCCACTGAGCTATCTTGAAGACCCAGCTCCAGTGTCCCTCTCTTACTGCTGTCTTCCTTGAGCCTCATCTATTACCTTCCTAGTGGCAGCTGCCCTTCTCAGTGTGTTGCCTGTTTCTAGCCAGCACCCTGAGGATCCTACCCGGCTTTGTTTCTCCTCTGCCTGCCCCTGTGAATACCCAGAACGCCTGGGCAGCTGCTGTTCAGCCATCATTTCTTTAAAATGGCTCACATCTGTCTTTTTACAATAAGCATACGCATGATGGCTTGTCATATGAAGCAGTAGTTGAATTTTCTGAAGTTTGCCCATTTTTCCCCTCTTTGATGATTTGCATTTGAATTATTTAAATTCACCTTAAAAAGCCCTTGTACCTTTTGTTATATACAGAAGCTAAGCAGCTACAGGAACTATCAGGTTAAACCATAAAGGCAACTATTGCACAAACAGCAGGAACAGCATATATAAATGTCATTGCAAATGTAATTTGTTTGAATAAGATTTAGAAGATAGGAAAACGTAAGGGAAGTCTATATATTTTAATGCAGAGCACACAACCATCTATTTCTACCTTACCCAGACAAATCAAACTCAAACTTCCTTGCAAAACACTTAATGTTTTTTGCTCTAAATAGGATGAAATTTCTATTTTACTTGGTTGGAATAGTCTTACATACAGTCAATAAAGCTGAAAGTGAATTTTCCCTCTAGAGAATCTGCAAATAATATTAGTTAATGAAGTATTCACTCATACTCTTCATATAAGTAATACMCATTAAAATAGATTTCACAGTGTAACTAATACTAAATATCAAACGGTTGAAATCCATGAAAAGCTTTYATTCTTAATTTCAATTTGAAAAACTCAAACTGAATGGAAAACCAGTGCTGGTAGTCCCAATGCTACACAGAAAAATCATGAAGGATTGACAGCTAGATCCTCAAGCACTTTAAGTTAACTTCCCTTTTGGTAATTATATGTAAATTAAATATCACTCATACTTGAATGGTTTTCATCCAACTGGATCTCATTCTTTACATAAATTCCCTCTCCTATTTGAGAAGGTATTACATTCAGTTATTGTGTGTGATACAACATTTTACATTAGGTATTTTATTATGTTTTCTATTATCAATGGGAAATATCCTGTTAATTAAAGAAAATACTAAAGATGCTCAGTTAACTGTAAAAACAACTCCACACATTTCTCCTTGGTTTCCAATTCCTTTCATAGTAAAATCTAGATCCATCATTCAAAGAAGAAGGAAAAGGGATTATTAAATGAATGTCAACCAAGCTTCAKGTACTGTGCTTTATCCAAACACTCTAAAGATGGCATTATAATCTCAGACTTTACAGATAGGTAAAAACAGAGGCTCCCCTTTGCACAGGTCACATGACCAGTAAAGGGGCTCTCTCTCCCAGGTGGCTTATGCAAAAAAAATTTGGCAGAATTCTCATTATGCTGGTTGTACCCATGGTCCCTTTCTCAAGTGTTACCTATGTATCGACTTATTTTCTACCAAATAACCCAGTCTCCTGGCCACTACTACCTGGACATGAGATTGATTGGGGTTGGACCCAAAGCTAGTAGCCTGAAAGGAAGCCTGCCTTGAAAAAGTGGCTGCCAAACCAGTGTGATCTTCCTTGTGAAAGAATGCAAGACTTTATGGACGGCAAAAGAAAGCAGTTACAGCACCAAGTCGGCAGAAAGGCAGCCACAGCAGCCACGAAGCAATCCCTGGAGCTCCAGGGCAGAGGTACTTACAATAAGCTGCAGGACTGGAAGAGTGGAATGCTAGCACCAGGGGGCTGGCAGGCAGACACTTTACAGCTGTTTAATTAGTACTCATAAAGCACTAATTAAGAAAATGGTAACTAAACCAAAGACAGAAAGATTTCCTAAAACCATAAATCCCTGAATATGCATATTATGAAGAAGAAATTACTGTAATCAATATTTCAACAGAACATTACCCAGTGGTTTCAGTACTGCAGACAGAAACACTCATTTTTTTTAGGAAAACAAGGCTGTAATAACAAAGTTATGAAAAACATATGGCCACAAAAATCTCTGTCAGCAGAGTTGGCAAGGTCAGAATCACTCAAGAATTTGTTCTTTAGAACAAGTGCCTAGGCCTCAGGTTAGATTAACAAAATCAGAAATTTACAGGTTGGGCTCATGAATAGTAAAAGCTCCCCAGGCAATTCTATCAAGTAGCCAGATATGAGAGTCACTATCTTAGATGAGGTGGTGGCAGGGCAGTCAAAGTGTGGCTCAGAGATCATCAACATTAAATATGTTAGAATGAAAATTCTCWGCACCACCTTGGACCTACTGAAACTGAAATTCAATCTGGCACTTTTACAAGATCATTAAGGTGATTCTGAGATAACCTCCAGTTGGAAAATCATGGTCTTAGATGACATAGAAAGGTAAATCTTTTTTTTTTAATATCTTTTTTTTTAGGCTGGCCTTGAATTTATGATCCTCCTGCTTTGGCCTCCTAAGGCATTGGGATTGCAGGAGTGTGCCACCACATCCAATTACTTTCCTCTTAATTTTGAAAAAATATAAGTTTAAAGTATACAATATCTGGGTCACTACCACATATTATATGCAGAAGTTAACAACAAAATATTAAAATTATTAGGAAGGGATAAAGGTATTGGTATAGCCTTGGAATAAGAAAAAGCCAAAAACATTGCAGTGACTGACACACTTGAAAATCATAATTTTAAACATTTATAAAATAAAAGACTCCATTAACAAAAAGAAAAGACAAGTCCCAGGACTGTAAAAAAAAAAAAAAAAAAAAGATACTTCAACACACAGAGAAGACAACAGATCACTGCAGGAATATAAAGAATCCTCCAAATCAATACAAATACCTAATAACCAACAAGGAACCAATAAAGCCCAAGCAAGTCACATGGGAGAAAATTCAAAAACAAATATAAAAATTTACTTAAGCCTATTAGTAATAATGAAAGTAAAAACTAAAACATTTGTTAATCTATCAAATTAGCAACAATTAAAAAGTCCATCAATATCAAATTGGTACATTTATGGAAATATGGTATAGCTGCTTAGAACAATTTGAAAAAATATGGAAAAATCAAGCCAGCAGAGCCAGTAATTCCACCTCAAGCACGAATGCATATATATATGCACAGGAAAATTGGAACCACGCACAGATCTATATTTTATTCATTATTATTGTACTATTTTGTAATACCCAAAACATAAAAACAACCTAAATGTGTATTAGCTGGTAAACCGGTAACTTAACTATGGTACATTTATACAAAAACATACTCTTCAACAGTTAAGCAATTAAGAGAAATACTTTATATCTATATGTAACAACATGGATAGTTCTCAAAAAAAGTAACTAAAGAAAGCAAGTCAGAGTCAAATATAATTTATAAGACCATTTTTATAAATYATTAAAACTTTAGAAACTGAATATTTTTCATGTATCTAGCATCTACCTAAGTTTTAAACATTTTTGAAGAGCCTACAGGAATACACACAAAAGAAGTGAGGTGCCTTCTGAGGGAGAAGATGGAAAAACAGCATCAGAATGGTGATCCAAAAGGACTTTAGTTTAATCTGTAATGTTCTAATATATCCAATAGGAAACTGAGACTACACATTACTCTCACAAAAGCTTTGAGAAGTAAGCAAGCCAAATTATAGTTTTTAAATATGGATGGTAGGAATACGGGTATTCGTCATTTTCTCTTTTGTTATTTTTCTTCCACTTTTCAATCACTACCATCCAAAAAGTTGCTCTCCCTTGCAAAAAAAAAAAAAAAAAAAAATTACATGCTGCATAATATGAACATTATCACCCACAGTTGTAATGTGCTCAAATCATGTGGCTTTTTTCTTTTTGTAATAACACAAGTAAACAGATAAGTCAAAATTAGCTCTCACTTACGCATGTAAGGCAGTTTTTCTGGGCAGGGAAGGAATGGTGAATATGTGAARTTTTCCGGGAGATACGTTGTTGTTTGCACAAGATAGTCACTTGAATTATTGCCTTCAGGATAATCTTGGAGAGAAAGAAGAAAGTTATAACCAAAAAAAAAATTGCCTTCTGCTTTGCTTCTAGTATAAAATGTCACTGTCAATGGGATGACTACAATAGGTAATCCACAAAAATACTTTAAAGCAATTATCTAGAAAGAACTAGAGAAAAGCAAATTGCTGATGGAACAGACACTCGGCAAGATTTCCCAAGAGACRTCTAGAAAGCAGCTTGGCCCCACCCTTTCACACAAACAGCAGTACCATTTGCAACCCATTGGCTGGGCCAGATCTAAAGGGAGTACAGAGATGCACCAGGGAATTCTGTCCACTATCTCACAGCCATACTCAACCCRGCACACTGCTACTAGCATCCAAAGAACAGAGGGGTGGGACTAATGTTTTCTTAACACCTCACAGTAAGAAAGAAAGATTCACCCACTCAACTTACTTCTCTAACACAGCCTACTCTACACCTTTAAGTCATTCTCAGCCTTCCCGCATCAGCTCCTAGGGAGCCCTGAGGCTATTATTACAGTTTGGTCCATTCTCCTTAGAGTCAGCAAGTTATGCTGTACATAGGGCAGTGGTTCTGAGCACCAAGTTCAAATCCTTGTGTTCAAACTCTTGCTCTAACATATACTAGCTTTCAGGGTAGGACACTATTCAGTTTCTCATCTCTGCCTGCCTGCTATTGTCATTTTCAGATTTCTGATAAACTGCAGTACATAGAGAGCTCAGAATACTTCTGGGCCTATAAAAATACCCAATAGTTACTGCTATGAGTGACTGGTTTAGRCATGAGCACCTGACCCAGCGTGAGACAATCAGAACCTTAGGATTCTTAAATGTGGAMCCAAAGAGATCACGTTTCAATCCCTCTTTGGAACAAAGTTCTGAAATGCAAATCTAAGAACCACAACTTGTCTGTTTCCTGCTATGAAGATTAAGAGAATACAGTGCATACGAGATAAAAGATGGAAGCCGCTGATTAAACTACCGTTTGTTAGGGCTAGGGTTGTGGCTCAGTGGTAGAATGCTCCCCTAGCATGTGAGAGGCACTGGGTTCGATGCTCAGCACCACATAAAAAATACATAAAATAAAGGTATTGTGTCTAACTACAACTAAAAAAAAAAAAAAAAAAAAAAAAAAAACTGTCTCCTGGATCCAACCAGATACCACAGAAAATGAAGCTCTAACAAACACTTTAGGAAAATGGGAAGATATTCTTTCAATCTTCAATGATCAGCTCCAATGAAAGAGGTAAAAGCCAGACCCTCGGACCCATGGGAAAATGGCAGAAGTATGCTTATGAGGTACGTGAACAGAATCAGAGCAAACTAAATGTGTCCCCTGTATAAATATTCATTCATTATCAAAACCGAGTTGAAGAGGCTACAGCTGAGAGCCAGAATAGCATTTCAGGACAGAAATACACCCCACCTCCAGGTCCATCTATGAAACAGGGCCCTGCCAAGGCTGCCACATGGAGGTTGATGGACAAAGGCTCCAGACCTCTCTACCAAGGAGGAGACAGAAGCCAGAGGAGAAGGTCCAATTTCAAAAGCTGCATGGAAAGCTCTGTTATTAACTTGACAGGTCATCAATAAGGCATTAAYTGTATTGCCAGAAAAAGCGAACACGATAGAGAACGATGCTGGTACAGTTGCTAAGGACAATTCCACCAGGGAGTAGGAAAACCCCAGTAAGAGAATTCCCCCAACCCTTTCCAGAAGTCCTGGAAAGCATCTGACAAGGAAAATCCTGCAGGCTCTAGGGGCAGGAGATTCAATGGGCATGGTTTTGTGTGCCCAGGGACAAAGTGGGGTCATAGAAACTCCTCCTGGGGCCCACGTTATGCATCCCACCCACACTTATCTATAAGACTGAGAGATACTGGACAAACATAAAACAAGTGTAAGGCAGTCTTACAAGGTTCTGATTCTTTCCTTAMGGTGCTTTTAAAAAATGTAGGTATATCTATTTCAAGTCCTATTTTTTTTATTTATATCTTACATACATGACAATAGTGGAGTGCATTACATTCAAATTATCCATTCACAGCACAATTTTTCGTATTTTAAAAATGGTTTCACCTCTAYGGGGACTCTTATTTTGCTAGTGGTAAGCATAAGTTAGATTTCTGCCACCTTGACAAAAAATAGCTAAGATTATWACTGTTGAACTTTGCAGTATCTTTTGGTCAAACTCCTTGATTCATACCTAAGAGTTATTTATATCTCCAATCAACAAAYAGATTTTACTGCTTGTAACTTAAACTTTATTTTGCATTCCTATTTCAGGTACACAGGAAGAAAAAAAATCACATACAAAGAGAATTCTTAAAAATTTACAAGTTTGTCAAAATTTGAAAAATCAAATCAAAAGATTATAATAAAGTCAAAGTAATCCCCCAAAATCTAGAAAGAAAAAAAACTAAAAACCAAAAAAAGAAAAGATGATAAACTTAGATGATTCTTTCAGAAGCCACAAATCCAAATAGTTCCAAAAAGAAGGCAGGATGAGGAGCAAGAAGGCAAATAATCAAAGAAATAATAGAGGAATATTTTGTAGAATCAAAGGACGAGAGGTTCCATACTGATAGGCCCATTGTACCCAGAGAGAAAAGAAAAACGAAGCTCCAAGATGTTCCTTGTAAAATTTCACGATCAGGAAAAAGAAAAAAAAAAAAAAAACCTACAAGTCTGCAGAAAGAAAAAAACTCATCTACATCTAGTAACTGTGATCAGAGAAAACAATGACATTGGAATATGAAATCCTCTTAAGTGTGGTCAATTCATGTTCCCAAACTGCTCAGAAAAAAAAAAAAAAAAAAAAAACAGTAAGAGATGCATAGAAAGCTTAGCAAATGGGAGGGGGGGTGCAGGGGGACAAGTATCATTAGTAAAAATAAAAAGATCCACAAAAGCATGTCTACTACTTAAGAAATCAAACTACCCTTAATTACATACATATGTCTTACTTCCATAACAGAAACAGTCAAAATTGATAATAAAGAAACAGCAAAATAAGGGTRGGAGTGTAGCCCAGTGTAGAGGGTATGCATGTTTAACATGCTCAGAGCAAGGGGTTCAATCTAGGAGGGAGGGAGGAACAGCACAATAGAAGGAACTTATACACAGAGTAAGTTGTTAAAAATCAAAAGTCGCTCTCTTGGAGGATTAGGACTCAGGAAGAGTGTGACAGGAGACTGCTGTTTCTGTTTGATCCTGGCTGGGTAATCTATAATCCCAGCAATKTGGTAGGCTGAAGCAGGAGCATCCCAAGTTCAAGGCCGGCCTCAGCCAGTTAGTGAGACCCTGTCTCAAAATAAAAAATTAAAAAGGGYTGGGGATGTAGCTCAATGACAAACAGCCYCCARGTTCAATCTTCAGWACCAAAAAATAAAATATATGTGTGTGTACTACTTAAAATTTAAGTAATTTATATAATTTGCTTTTCAATATGAATACATGAATGGTTAAAACAATAACTACRGAACAGAAAGTTCTTCTGCACAAGTTACATAGCTCTCGCACTCACAAGCTCTCTTATACTCAGACACAAAGTTCATTTACAGATTTTATTTTTGCAWATGCCACCAGAACAGATGGACTAGCTACATAAATATGATGCTTTTTCTTAATCTTTTCAGTCAATTTTTCTTAAGCACCTAGTATATAATACACATTTAGAGCAGCTGGAAATGGAGGTTAAATAATGTTGTCCCTAKGGTCACTGCCTTTTTCTATTTCAAAAACTCATTTTCTTATAATGCTAAGGCAAAAAAATATTAACATTMTCATGTATCCTCAAATGATTTATTAGTGTTGTATACGAACTTTAAATCAGAATATTTACTCTTCATAATTTACTAATTTTGTCATTAATACTGGGGCCCCTCTTCTTATCCACATACTATAATTCCATAGGCCTACATCCAACTCACTGAAATTTCAAGCTCTCTAGACATTTCCACAAAACAAACTGTTAAAGTCACTCCCTCTGGGGAGTGTGGTGACAAGAAAACCAGAGAGAATTGTTTCACTTAGTTTATTCTAATGCTAGAGTAACTGAATCTTCATAAAAGAATACATTCATAAATAATTTTTTTTTAAAAAAGACATGCAACATTATCTTCATTTCCTTTCAATACAGTACTAGAGCTAAACATGTTATTTAGCCACATCATTATAAATGATCATAAGGGCTGTAACACTTACAGAAATGTTTCCACAATCCGGAGCACTTTGTCCAGTGGTATTTACCTCATTCCAATGTATGTTAATATATAACTCTATCCACTACCCGGGTCCTTTGTCTGTATACCTCTTTTAATTGAAATTCAATTGTCTTTGATTTCTACCATCCAATAAAGTTGTAGGGCACAACAGGAACATGCTGCAAATAAACCCTTTACAACTGATAATAAAGCCAATGATGATTTAAGCTCTTGGAGATTATACTGTAATAAACCCATAAAAATCATGATTCCTACACAAGTGGTTAGGTGAGCCATGTCCATCAAATATAACCACTGCTTTCAAAATAGGTGACAGTTTTAAAAGGTTATGCATGCCAGAAGCACTTGAGGTCCACCACAATGCTGTTAAGAGGCAGACATTATTTCTTCTAATGAATGAATGAAAATGAAACGAGTTCTGGGCCCTTTCCTCTTTCTTCCCATGGAGAACCACACCCAAAGAAAAAGGAAACAAAATGAAAACCTCTGGACAGGTCCCCTACTCCACTCTCACTGGACCTTATCACTTAACAGAAAAGAAGAACAGGACCAACGGATACCTCCTAAATGGCTTTATTTCTTCTACAAAGGGCACCTTAAAAGGATGGCAGAAACCCCTTGAGTTCTTTTCTGTTCATCACCAACTTACCCCATCAGGCAGGACATGCCCGAGGGTCTCCACGCATATATCCACTAAAAAAGCATACAAGGTTACCTCTAACCAACCCACCAACCCTGACACAGCATGACCCCATCACCTACTTCAGTAATTATTCAATGAGTAAATCTTGTTTTCTTAATTTGACTGGCTCTGCAGGCATCATTAAAGTATGACATGATTTCTGCACAAAAATACATACCTATTTACATTTGTTGCCACATAAAGTCACGTAGGGTGTTTAAAACTTCTTTTTGAAATCGAATGTACTCATAAATATAACAAGCTATGTACCCTTTATTATTAAAATTTAAATGAGCCACCATGTATTATTAGTCAATTCTCCTCTAGGGCTCAATTAAACCCTTTTTACACCTTATTGGCCATTATCTCCTTTTTGCAAAATTTTATATGTATTTGTGCAGAAATAATAACTGCATTGTAAATAACTATATTTTCATATCTCAAGYCTACAGAAAGCTGTGTGTAAAGGGAGAATGTTTTTCCTAATCTATGTCTTCCACATCGAGTTGAGTATACAAACTACACTAACTGTTCGATAAATGATAGCTAATGAACCTGGCAGAGCCTCAGGACTGACTACTTTAACTCCTCTCTCCTTAGGTAACAGAACCCTGATTTCATTCCAGCACCAGTGTTCCCAGCTCCATGACTTCATTTCCCAGTGTACTTATATGTGCCCATGCGATTAAGTTCTGGCCGGAGAGATGTATGAAGAAATACTGGGTGGGACTTCTGGGAAGGCTCCTTAAAAGGGGGTACCCAATTTGTTCTTCTTCCTTTCATTCCTCCTTCCTATTGAGTCAAGTACAAATACAAAGAACGGAGCCCCAGCAGCCACCACAGGCTGTGAGTTCACTGTGATGCTCTGTGGCAGAGCAGAAGACGAAAAGCATGGGATGACTTATGAAGAAATCTCCATAATAGCCACAGATGACCAACTTCCAGGCTTTCACATGAGAACAAAAAGGCTTTGTAGCTAAGCCATCACCTCCAGGCATCTGTTAGAACCAAACCCATTCCTGTCTCTAAGGACAGTTTGCCCATTAGTAAAAAAACCATATGAAAGGTTTTCAAAGGTACATAAAACTAAGCAAACGTCAATCAAAGTATGCACTGGTTGCTTTGTCATTATTGAAACTGTAATGGAAGAATGGATTTCTTTTTTTTTCTTTTTCTTTTTTGCATACTGCTAAAGGAAAGTTTGCCTTGCTCAGGTAATTATTTCTCCTAATTGAACTCAACATCCACACATAACTTATTCATGTCTCAGGAAAAAAACTATAATATACACACTTTTAATATTCACACAAATACAGTAACCTTAACCTAATATTTCTTTTCAGTTTAACAGACTTGTAGCAAACACTTTCACACTGGGGGCAGTGGCACATGCCTATAATCCCAGTGACTCAGGAAGCTGAGGCTCTAAACAACTTAATCAAACCCTATCTCAAAATAAAAAATTAAAAAAGGGCTGGGGATGTGGCTCAGTGGTTAAATACCCTTGGGTTCAATTCCTGGTACCAAAATAAAAAACAAACATCTTTTAAACATCTCCTAAAATTGACCTACTATTCAGTAGGCCTACTGCATCAATGCAGAAAACAGTTAATGAGATTTTTACTGTACTGTACTATTAAAATGTCCACTATGTTGAGAGTCTTCCTAAAGGAAATGAAGGCTAAAAAATTAAAGGAAAACAAGAGTGTTTTGATTAGTAGCGTCAAAAACAAATTAGGCAAATGACTAGAATGGATTTTGTAAAAGTATGTGTGACGTTAAATTGCAAAATGGTGTGCAATTGGTAGTCTTGCATTTTTTAGCAGGATCTAAAACTACTATATGCCTTAACATACTTTTAAGAAAGAACATTTATGGCTGGGAGGTAGACATTCTATTGAGAGGAGGAAACAGAGACAGCAGAAAAGTGACTGCAGGTCTACAGTGACCCAAGCAACCATCAACACACATTAAATCTTTATTTTCAATTATTTAAAATGAGAACACAGAGCATACAACAACTGACAATCAATCCCATGAATCCCTTTAAAGTAGCACCTACAATACTTGGGAAACACTGCAGGAAATACTTGGGAAATACTTGGGAAACAAACTCTTCCACAGTAGGAAACCCATTCACACCACATTCATGTTCACAGCACCAAATCATTATTAGCTTAGCCTATTAGATCTTAACTTTTTGTGACTCTAATGCAGATTCTGCTTTCAGATAACATTTTGAAAAGAGCAACTACTGATTTCCAACTTTATAAAACTTCTCCTCTAGCCCTTGAAAAAGGTCATAAAGTTAAGAATATCCTATAATGTAAAACAACTAAGTATGGGGCCAAAGTAGTTGGAAAAACATTTTAGAAATAAGAATAGATATAAACAGTAGCACGGCTCATTGAGATGAATAAATTATTCTTTGTGGTTAATTTAAATACAATAGATGAACTGAAAAAGCAGAAGCTCTTCTGTATAGTTTATGTTTGCAGGAGTGAACTTTTAAGTGTCTTTACACCAAATCCCATCACCCTTGAAACCAAAGCTTTATATATCCTAAAATATGGAAYAGACCTGATTTGCACAATAAATTAACCTACCAGTGCACTTAGTAGGAGAAGTCTTCATCTCTAACAGGGAGTCACTGGGAGGCAAAATTAGAGTTTCAAAGATCTGGTCAAATGCTCTATGCCTATAAGGGTAAGAAGCAGAAGCCAAGCAAAGCTGAGAGGAAGTTGTCTTACCTGTGCCATTGAGGGTGGCGTTTTTATTTGTGTACAGCCTGATCATATGTCCTATTGTTTTCACATTTTCTCTCAACATTATACCTCGAGCTTGTACCATAAAGAGGTATGTGTTGGCTACAAAAAAAAGGAGGGGGGGATGTCATTAATATGATAAGCTTATTTAATAATATTCAGAATTATCCAATAAACAAAGATGGACTCCATTATCATGCCCAAAAGGAAGAAGAAATGTAAGATGACTATTGCCTACTTTTTAAAGGTACAAAAACAGATTTATTAAAAATGAAAAAATTAAAACGGCAATATCCATCTACCAAATAGACTAAATGAACAAACTGAAATACCACAACAAACTCTTTATCAAAATTATTTTCTACTATTAAATGTATAAAGTTATTTCAAAAAGTTACCTTGTTTTAAATTCCCAAACCAAGTCATAAAACTTTCTTTTTCTAATTCTACATTAATTCCCTCAAACCAAAAATTCAACAAATACAAGGATTCTTTACTTAATGATGAATATACCACAAATCATAACATTCAGTATACATGAAGATCTTGCAATGGATCCTGTATATTCTTCATGCGTTTGGGAGAGAGGGCTGTTCTAGAATCAATATCTATTTTGGTAATTTCTGTCCAAGAGTTAATTACTTCCCTTTCCATCACAAATATACCTACCACGATCGTGAAAATAGATGAGCTTAAAAAAATTAATGTATATTTTTTATAATTTGTCACCTTAGTTCTTTGTAAAAAGTGCTTTAAAAACATTTCACCCTCCTGGGGTGAAATGGGTAACTATAAACCCAGGGAACTAAAAACCCAGATCCCCTGCTGGTCCACATTCTGCTACTTTAGTATCTGCCTGGGACACTCACTGGAGCCCAGTTTCCTCACTTTACAGAGTCACCCCTRCACCAGGTGCCCTCCAAAGCCTCTTCCACTCTCAATTCTGGAGTCACAAAGCCAGGGCGTCAGAACTCCACTCAAGACAAGAGGCAGAAGCTCATCCTTGGGCAAAAATCAAGACTTAGCAAGGGTCACTTAGCGATTCTTCCAACGTTAAGAGAAGTTGTCACTGAGCACAGTAATGACACTCTTCAGAAAATGAATGCTGAATGAAAAAGCTAAGAAGCTCAACTAACTTTCTGGGCTCTGCTCTACTCTCTCCAGGTGGCAGGGAGATGAGAAAAACATGACATTTACTACCTCTCTTCCCATTTTTATGTAAATGTGAACTTGTCCAACTACAAACAACACAGCAACCCAGCGTGAAATAAAATGAGTAGAGAAGCAGAGTGATTTTTTTCTTTCACCTACAACCCATAAAGGATAAACAGAAACATCCAGGTTTTAYATAAGCTTTACCGCAATCATTTTTTAAGAATACATCTACCCACTTACTAAAAGCAGTCCTATAATCAGATTTTACTTGTTTAGAGTTGATTTTATTATAGTAGGCTATAAATATCAMGAAATTTTATTATATTTTTCCACTTGAATGGACATGAAAAAAGAGAGAGAGACAAAGAGAAATAAGAAAACTAAAATAACAGCCATTCAAAAATGTACGAAAACTTTTGATTAAAAAAAATCAAACTAACGTTAATAATTCTACCTAAACCAGGATCTAAAGTTCAACTGAACGAGGTGGGGAAGGGCATCAAACAGATCATAAACAACAACTGATTGACAGCACCTGGACTTTTTTTTTTTTTTTTTTTTTGTATGTGTATGGTGCTAGGGATTGAACCCAGGGCCTTGTGCATGTGAGGCATCCCCAGCCCTGGATTTTTTTTTTTTCTTTTTACTCAAAACTGCATGACATTTGTTACCAGTGATATAAATACCTTATATTTGTCCTACATCAAACCATACAAAGGCCACCACAGAGTAGCAGAACTGAGCCAAGGGTGAAAAAACAAACTTCCAGAAAYGATACCGGCCTAAGCAAGGAATGCTAGTGAGAACATCTGTGCATTATTGTGTGTCTTGTAAACATTATTTTACAAAATTATACAGCTGGAGAGTTGCAGGGAGGTCAGGCCACAGCTATTCGGACAACCAGGGCACAGCAGAATGGAGTAAAARTAGAAGATTCCCTGTCAGTGGGGGATACAAGAGCAGGAACACTGTGCATGGAGGACAAACTGTCGGACATGTCATGCAGATGCAGGACAAGGGAGGGCATAGGATTCTAAAGAGAAGGAAATGAATTAGCATTTACTGAGTACCAACTTTGGTCAGGACTTGAGCTAAAGACTGTAACTAAATATATGTTCATATACACATAATTACATTTCATGTAGTTCTTGTAACTGCCTGTAGCAGGGTGAATGGGAGTCTCTAAAAGGATAGTCCACATCCTAATTCCCAGAACCTGTGAATGTTACCACATTTGGATAAAAGTCCTAGCAGATGTATTCCAGTTAAGGATTTTGAGATGAAGAGATCATTCTGGATTATCTGGGTGAGCCCTAAATCCGAGGCAATTGCTCTTACAAGAGAAAGGGAGAAGAGGATTTTTCACACACAAAGGCACAGGCACATGAAAGGCAAAGTTAAGACAGAGTAGAACACTGCAATGTGGCCACACCCATGCAAGCAGACCAGCATGTGACCCTAGAAAAGGCAAGACAGTTCACTCCAGGAGCTGCCTGAGTAAACATCCTACTAGCCTTCATTTCAGACTTCCAGCCTCCACAACTGTGAGAAAGTAAACTTGGACTGTTTTAAGCCACTCACTGTGTGGCAAGGAGCTTAGCAGACCTGGGAAACTGATACACCATCCTTTGATAGATATGATGAAAAGAAAAAACTCAAAAGTAAACTATACAAGTAGAATCAGAAACTCAGGATTTAAGCACAGATCTGAATGGGGGGAGGRGAGGGAGTGAGCTAGAAGAAGCAAAGGTTCAAAGTCACAAAGGACATGGAAAGACAAGAAGAAAGAGAAACCTGTAATGTACAAAGTCATGAGGGAAGTGACAATATGAGGAATAAATCAGACTTCAATTAATATGAGCAGGAGAAAGCCAGAAGAGACATTTAAAAGTTACAGGAGAGGGCAGGGGATGTTGCTCAGTGGTAGAGTGCATGTCTAGCATGCATGAGGCACTGGGTTCGATCCTCAGCACCAYATAAAAATAAAAAATAAAGTTATTGTGTTCACCTAAAACTAAATAAATATTTTTTTAAAAAGTTATAGGAGAGAAACAGAGTTGCCAGTTTAACTACTGAAAATATAAATAAGTAACATTTTAAAAAGCAAAACACCTTGTGTCTTTACCCCTTACTATTTCCTACAGACATCAGCAATCTTCTTCATAGGGTTCATATGCTGAAAAGTTATCTTCTTTCTACATTCAGGGGCATGTTCAATAAATCCCCAGACATTACTCATCCATGTTGGTAAAGGAAAAGATTATTACCTCTACTGATAGTGGTATAAGCCCCAGGATTAGACCAGACTAAATATGAAATGCTGTTTATACTTTGCCTAGGACTAAGGTATTGCTTAGATTAAAAAAAAAAAAAAAAAAAAAAAAAAAAAACTTTGACATTGTTCCAGGCTATTAAACAAACAACTCCCTTTATGTCAAAGTACTATTTAAACAGAGACTATCTGACCATTGTCATTCCAATACAAGTCAGGTTTTGACTCAAGATCATCTGTTGTACAATTACCAGCCTATACTGTCCTCCTCTCCACCTTGCAAAGAAGTCATGAGCTGTGTTCAGAGTTCTATTTTATCAGGCAGATAACAAATAACGATGAGCACAAACAGTACAGATCTATTTCAAATCTTAGCCAACAGCTCAAACTTTGCTGCTGTAGACACTAAAAATTAGACAACAGGTCTCTATCCCTTCATTTTGCAGTTGACAGTTTTAAATTGTCTGAAGATTATCTGCRCTTGAATACATTACAGATGCTGAGGCTGAAGAGGAGTTCACCCAACAGATATTTATTGAATGTCTACTATTTACCAAGAAGAGCTAGGAAGTAAGGGGTCCTGTGGATTCCTGCCGAAATAGTCAAGATCCTAAGAGGCACAGACTGCCTAAAACATCAGAAGTTCCTTTGCAACAGATCATGAGTTCGGCCTACTCTGTACATAGTTGATAATTCAAAAAGTAGACCCAGAATCCAGCGGTTTGAAAACACTCAAGATACCTATGAGCCCTTCTGTTGATTCACTGTGGTACTCATATAAAATAATGTGCAGCTTCTTTAAAGTTTTATGGGAGCCCAAGAGAGTTAATGAACTACATTGGGAAAAAAACACAATCAGGAGGAAATGAGGGAATCAGAGAAGGAAACGTGTAGGCAATTAAACAGATTTTTAAAAATCTAATCAGGAAACCCAACCACATTACAGACCGAAAAAAAAACAAACCATAAGTAAACATGCCTAGGAAACATTATAAAATTGTTCAAAATCAGTAGTTTCAGAGTAAAGAAGATGAATGTGAAAWAAATCTCCCTACCCACTTGGGAATTCTATTGACATAAGAAAAAAAAATAAAGTGAGAACTATTTGAATTATGTTTTACCACTATCCCCAATCTCCTGGTGTTTTCATGATTATAAAACGCCTTTTAGAACTTCACCCACTTAGTCATGAAAGAAAAACAAGAAGCAGAGAAAGGGATGCTGGACAGGAAATTAACTTCAAAGATTCCCAAATCCAGAGCCCATTTTTGAATCAGTAAACAAGGCACCTTATAATTCTCTACCTCAGTCTCCAGATTCAAAAGAAAAGTCCAATTTCTCTTCTGTGACTCAAACTTGAAACTGCATTCTAATTAGAAATTGTAATTTTCTTTTTTCTTTTTTTTTTTTTTTTTGGTCTTTTTTTTTTTTTCCTTTCTTGAGACCCAGTCTCACTATGTTGTCCAGAGTGGCCTGGGCTGAAGAGATCCTCCTGGTTCAGCCTTCCGAGCAGCTGGCACTATAAGTATGCCCCACCACCAGATTCATTTAATTATCAAAAGACCATATATATAATATGATTTCAGTAAACTCACACTAACATTAACAAACCTCAAATACATAAAAAGGTTTAAAAACAAGACAGACTATTTTAATCATGATATGTTATAGTCAC